CTCCCCCCGTCTTTCCCGCTCCGGAGGACCCCGAACGTATCGGGTTGTCCTCTCTCGGGAGAAGGGTCGAGCTGTTCGTGGTGCCACCCGCAATGGTGGCAGGAGGCGGACTATGAAATGTGTATTTTTGTGGGCAGCGAAATGTCCACTTTCCGCGGTCTCACGAAGTGTACATGCGGGGACCCCACGACGGTACAGCCGCAGGAGTTGGTTAGCGTGCAATGCGTAGTCATGGGGAGCTCGGTGCGATGTCATGTGCTGTTTGTTTGGGATGGTCCGGTGACTTGTTGTGCATGTTGCGAAAGCGGAGGTGGCGTGCATGCCTGGTTCCTCCCGGGGGGAGGGACGACAGACGCCAGGCGCCAGGATGGGAGCTGTGACTCCCACAAAGAAAGCCCGGAAAAACGGTGAAGAAAAGCAACCCCCACGCCGCCGTTGGTCGAACACGCGTGCAGGTGGTGGGCCTGACGGAGTTTGCGGGGATCGATGACAACGGCAACCGGGAGGAGCGGCAGCGAACCTACTCTCAGAGCACGACGACGGGGACGCAGAACTGGTACTGGACCGACGAGACGTACGACTTTGAGTTCGCGCTCATGATTGTCGACGTGTCCATCCCAAAGTTCGAGTACACCTTCATCGCGGTAAGTATGAACCAGCGAAGCAAGGAAGAGGTCTCCCCTTGGTTTGCGTTGCCGCCTTTTAAAGATTCTGCTGCCGGTACGTTGTTCCTTTTCCGGTACAATATGTACATAACAATAGGGAAGCGTAACCCGTGAACTCGTGGTACCTGTTCGGAAGCATGTGTTGTTGTGGCCAAGAAGCGCCAGTTTTGTTGAACTTGTTGACGATGAACACCAAGCTGGCTTCTGCCGTTCGTTGTGCCTTCTTCTGTTTTTTTGGTCCTCAGGATAGCGCGACGAGTTTCCCGAAGCATACTTCAAGGGGCGTATGCCAATGGCCTAGCTATTACCAATGAAAACGTGTCGAACTACAATTTTGAATAGGTCCGTTTTGGCGAATTCACGTCCGTACCGCTTTGCGACAAAGCACGGCAAACGATGCTTCACCCGACAGCGCTGTCAACCACGAACGCGAGTGTACCACCTGAGCGGCCGCCGGCTCCCTCGTGTTCAGCACCAGTTGAGGCTGACGCCCCCGCCCCCCTCTCGCTTGTGGTGTCCCGCCGCTCTCGTCCTCCGCGTGCTCGTTTTCCCGCAGGAGGTCGATCCTGTTGACGCGTGGTCGATCATCGGGGCCATCGGGGGCATTTGGCGTGAGTACCACCACCTCAAAAGAAGGGATAGCACTTTATTTTGTTTCGTCACTCACGTCTCGGCTCATGCAGAGAGAGTCGCTTACGGTTTATGAACACCCGTTTTGACTGCTGTGCCATCTGCTTCGAATTGCGTCACCGTGGTTCTGGAGCCTAATTTGCTAGCATTGCATTTTCTGGTATTGAGACGAGAGTCCCTGACGCTTGCCAGCTGCTTGGTAACTTTGTTTCTTGAAGAGAGTTGGACGGGGGGATAAGGGTAACAATTACATGAACGGTATATCAATGGCGCCGGGGGCGAGGATGCCCCAAGGAAACGCGGTGAAGGGGGGGGGAGGGGGAGGGTAAGCGGATACATCGACGGCAGTTTGAGGAGACCAATGCACGGAGGGCCCCCAAGGTTGAGTCAGTTTTTTGGTGGTCAAGCAGGGCACCCCTTTTTTTGACGTCGCCCTCCCCGCTCGCCGTCCCTCTGTTGCTGTTGTCTGCTGCACAAAAAACAAATCGAAGAGTTCGTGGTGACCGGGTTCGGGCTCTTCTTCGTGTTCTCGGTGAAGCAGTCGCCCGACCGCAAGATGCGCAACTTCAGGAAGTCGGTGACCAAGCCGGCCTCCATAGTCAACAAGCGCCTGTCCACCCTCGGCTCCCGCTCGTCGACATCGAACCAGGTTGGAGTGGGACTTTGACCGTAAAACTTGTAGCCTGACCGTTTAGTTTAGACAGCCAACGGGAGTCGATTGCTTTGCCGGGTAGCTCTCATGGCCCCTGTGTTGTTCGAGAGGAAGACGTTTGTTCGGCGAGGAGTAGTGCATGGTCGTGGAGCGCAATGTGGGTTGATTTCGCCTTCCATGTTTAGCCGGGGGGGGATCTGTGGTGTCCGCCTCCACGCAGTCAAATTACGGAGGAAAGCTCATTTCTCCTTTTGGACACCCGTTCCGTTTGGCTCTCTCTCTCTCTCTCTCACACTCAAGCGCTTTGATACCATTACTCCATCCCTCCCCTTCTCACCCACGTACGTAATTACGTCCCGCATCTCTTCGCGGCGTGGGTGACTGGGAAACATGTTGCACAGGATATCGAGCTCGATTCCTCCGAGGAAGACTTACCCGCGGACTGGGTCAAGAAACAGAGGGCCAACGGGAGCATCTACTACTTCCATCCCTTGACCGGCAAGAAACAGAGCACGCCTCCTGACGCCCTAGGCAGCGCTGGAGGGGGCCCGCAGGCCTCCGGTACCGTGTTGAATCAAATCTTCCATGTAAGTCAGTACGCGCTGGTCCGCGACGAAAGACCCACGCTGTTTCGACATTCCCCGCCAATGGGCGAAGAGATCCGGGTTGCCGTTGCCGAACGGCGGCGGGGCGTCTGTTGAGAGTTCATTTTGTTGTTTGCCCAAGCGGTGCCCTCTCCGACATGCACACCTGTCCTGCATAGGTAGGTTGGATGGGTTGACTAGGTGTCTCTTTTTCGAGAGGTCAGGGATAATTTTGGCCGCAAGGGCCCGTGCTGGTGGCGCCCCGTTCTGCTTCGATACTGCAGCGAGGCTCGTTGTCTTTCTGTGGCAGGTACGAGTAGTGTCAGAGGCGCGTCAACACCGAGGCATGCGCCACCCCTGTTTCACGTTTCCATACAAACTAGCCGAACGTTGCTTATCGTTCTTGGAGAGCAGCAACCAACGTGGGGCAGTATGCACGCTCTATACTCGTTTCTCAGTCTAGCCCATGTTGATTCTCGGCGTCATTTGGAGAACTGTCGGTCCGCATGGCAGTAGTCCGAGAAGCACTCGGTTCCGAGCATGAATCCGGCGCCTTGGGGTCGAGTTACAAGTCCATCCACTTCCGTCCGTCCCGGCCACAACTCCCCTCCACATCTCTGTTTCGCTCGTCAGCCCGCGCACGCTTCGTCGGGTGCTGGTGCTTCGCGGGAACACAGGCAGCTGTCGGTGAGAAGCGAGAGATAGATTCCCCAAGGACTTGCATCAATGCTTCGATTTTCCTGCAACCGTTTGCGACGGGAGCTACGGCTTGCATGATTATTTCCCCGTGTTGGACTCCATGTGGCACATACATAAGTTCTCTCAGGAATGAATGGGAGCCTCGACGTAACCGTTCATGAACGCTATGATCATCACGTCAACATTAACCTTTGCAGTGCGAGTCAAAGACTGTCCATGCTTTCGCCTCCCTACTATAAATGGGTTACCGGCGGCATCGCGAGACCTTCCGCAATCATGCAGGAGGCGTTTTTCTCTCCTCGTTTGCACCACGCCTCGCTCGCGCCCACAAGTCACTGCTCTGCCATGTCTTCGCAACCTCCACATCTCATATCTTGCCAGGGCGACCCTCTTCCTCCAGGCTGGATCTCGCGAGCAGACGACAGCGGCAAGACCTGTGAGTACCAAAGCCCCTTCCGGCCGCCCGTGCCGTTGAGATTTGCTCTCGCGCGTGCACACACACACACATGTCGACGGTCTTTTGTGCGACAGTGACCCAGCTCGTTTTGCGAGATGCCGGCGGCAACCATAACTTCAGGCTTCAGGGTTGGTAGCTGCCTGTTTAGTGCCGGCTGTGTGCGCGCGTCTGTGAACGTTTCTTCGCCAAGGTGGGGAGGCTGTTTGTTGCGTAAGAAGTCCCGTTGTCTAGTCATCCCGCGGCCTATTCCGTTCTTCCATCGAGACGCCGAACCGAAACTACTGTACACCTACGTTTGTGCACACATCACTCCCGACCTATTCCCAATAGCTTGCGGTGAGTTTCAGTGGGGTGTGTGCAGGGAACAGCATGGTTGTTATTCCAGTTCAGTCATCTGGGCCCAAGAACATGGCAGCATCCATGCTCCACCGCGTAACGTCCGCCCCACCCGCGTTTTCCCACCGCACGCTCCCCCTTGGAATCGGTGCGTTGCCCTGCCTTTGCTCCAACTCGATCCGCTCCCTTGCGTTTTCCAGACTACCAGGACACGGTAAACAAGACAACCCAGTGGGAGAGGCCCACCCAGCGCCCTCGCTCCAGCAGCGTCTCCAGCGGCCGGCCGCAGGTCGTCGACATGCCGATAGCGCACACGCGCCGTGGTTCGAGCACCTCCTCCACCAACAACCCCCGCCCTTCCTCTTCGTCCCACGCGCACGACCACCCGCACCGTCGCGATGGTGCGGCGGAGGACCCTTCGCCTCCCCCCGCTCTGGGGAGCATTCCCGCCGCCCCTTCCTACAGAACGGCGGTTCATCTGTCCAACCGTTCAGCACATACGGCGGCTGCGGGGGCGGCGGCGGCGGCGGCGGCGGCGGGGGCACAGGCGGACGGCGGGGGCGGCCCCCTTCCCCCGAACTGGGAGAGGCGTATCGCGTCAAACGATAGGCCATGTGAGTGCTTTGCTTACCCTATCATGCGCGTAGAGCGGTGGGCTTCATTCAAGTCATAGCGCGGTTTTTGTTGCATGCCGAGCCATGGTTCTTTCAGTCAGGACAATCCGACGCGGGAGGATGAAATTCTCGGGGGCAGCCGTAGCTTCCAACCCAGTTTCCGAAATGAGTTCAGCATTTGCAGTCACCCTTTCCTGCACAGTCATTTTCGAGGAGCGGCAAGCACGTTGATTCCCGCACTATGTGTGTGAAGTTGCTGATAGCAATGAAGCCAACCATCGATGCACCTTCGTTTTGCCACTGCTGTCACGTCGAAGTTATCTTTGTTAGGGACATCACAACCCGACTGACCCTTTTCTCGCACCTTGCTTTTTTCGCGTGGGGCTGCCCGTAACGTTCAATGGTACGGAATCGACATGACGCCGTTTTGCACCCTGGTTGCGACGGATGTTGAACGGCGACTGCGCCGTGGGCGTTCCCGAAAATCAGACTACGTCAACACCGTCACCCGCGAGTCGAAGGTGAAGGTTTGAGTCATTGCTCTTTCTCCCTCGCTAAATGGCCCTCGTTTGGTGTGTGATATCTTGGAAGTTGCACAATGGACCAGCGAAACGACCTTCTCCGTGTGTGCGTCTTGTCCCACCCCGAAAGCAACCACAACCTCGGATTAGGCCTCAAGTTACGCAAATTGGCCGCGGGAAAAAAAACGATGCCTCTACATGGGCAATTGACACACCGCGTATTTCTTCCTCAAGCGAACACCCTACAGTTTGCCCCGACACCAGTTGCACGCAATGTGAAACGTTCTTTCCATACGTGCAGCGTATTCTCCGCTTCTTGACCTCCGCGACACCACACATCATGTTCTTGTTGCCCGTTCCTGAAAGTGGTTGTCCACAGTTTGGACCAGCACCCAGAACGCGCTATTCGACACCGTGAAGATCGTTCGGCCCCCCCCCGGCCCGTTTCTTTGGCGCTCGAGAAGCCCACACTGGAACGTCGAACCGAACTGCTGTCACTCTCGCCTCGTGTGTTCAACACAGCCCCAGGCGTCCACATCGAGACCAGAATCGCATTAACGCCCGCCTTTCGTTTGACCCCTCCCACGTGCACATGACGTGATCCTTGTCCCTGTAGTGGGAAGACCCCCGTAGCTAAGGCTCGGGCTCAGCCAGGGGCAGGAAGGCGGGAGGGAGAAGAGACGGCCTTCGTTTGGTCCCCATCGCCTTCTTCCAATTTCCAGTGTTGCGTCGAGGTCTTTTACGTTGCGCACGACGAGTTTTGCAGCGACGGTGTCTGGTAAACTGCGCACACCCTGGCGCGTGGTCTGGACACGAAGGCGGACTAACCGCGGCCCTCCATGGTATACGTTATGTGCGACCTAGAAAGTTCCAGGAACAGAGATATTTTTCTTCGATGTCCTCGCAGAAATTAGGCTGGTGGCCTGTTTGTTGCCACTTTTGAACAGCCTTCGGAGCTTTTTACATTCCTTTTGCTCGATATTGTAGAGTAGCCGATGGATGGCTCTGTTCTTTGCTCCCTACTGAACAGTCAAGACAAGCGTGCGAGACAGTGTTGATCAGCAGGGTAGTCAAAGCTTGTCTGTGATTGCCTTCGATTTGCCCTCAGGCACGCCTGAGCAAGATTCGCAGAAAAATCCATATCCTGTACGCGCTCGAGGAGATAGTGTTGTACATCTGAACGCCTTTGGTATATTCTTGTTGTGGTTGGGATTGCGAGGGCGAGGTCCCGGGAAAATCCGGGCAATTTTGTTCATGATTTGGTTTAGTGTTGTTTCATGATTTAGTTAATGTACTGCTTTTCGTTCTACCGGTTGCGCATCCAATTAGCCAAAAGAGTCCAGCAGTGTATCGTGCCCAGTGGCCCTTCCACGCACCCAGCTCGGCTGGACGCTCAGGATGCAGGGGGGGTTGGCTGAGGGATGCCAAAACAGATGACGGTACTCTGGGTTCATATATTCTTATCAGTATCAAGAGTGTTGTTGTTGTTGCTGCTGCTGCTTTTCTGTATCGTTTTGGAGCGACGGCAGATTGCGTCAAGCCAGCAATCAGGAGTGATTATTGTCCCGTGCCGGTGCTGTAGTACCGCACCCACCCGTGGGCTTAAGCCTGAGGAATAGCTTCAGCGTAGATTTCTCAAAGGCTCGACCTCACCAACGCAATGGCTGAAAGTGGCTGTGTCCGTTTCACTTTCCCGGTTGGACCAACAATAATGGAAATGGTCGAGCCTGAAGCATAGACACCCGCCATGAGGAAAAATCAGCGTTGAAATTCTGGTGCAGTTTCACTCTTAACAACATATTCGCCTGATTGAGAGCGAAGTATCTGATTGAGAGCGAGAGCCAAAAAAATTGAAATTTCGGGTCCAGACGCCTCTTGCCATTTCTTGGCAAGTAGGGGACGGGCTATTCCAAGAAGCGGTGCAAATTGAAGGTCTCATCAGCAGCTTCGCGAGCATATGCGTGTCATCGTCATCGGATGCTGCAGCGAGGAGCTAGACAAGTTGCTAGATTTGCCCAGATTGGCTATTTCTGCTCAAACTGTTTCAGGGCGGTATCGCGTCGGGCGGTGGGCTCTGCTGTAGCTTCTGCTCCCCGCTGTAGCTCCACAACGAGAGACTCCCACAGGATGACCAGGGTAGCGGCTTGAAGCTACGGGCTAGCCCTTCAATTCAAGCTACACAGCAAGCTCCACCTCTCAGTGGTAGTCCGGCTACAGCGTATCGCGCAATCTCGCTCTCAATCAGATGCTACGCTCTCAATCAGGCGAATATGTTGTTTCTTGCCCTTCGTTCTCTTGGTCTCTTGGTCACTCCGGAAATGGCGTTTGCTTTTCTGGGCGACGCGGCCCTATCGCCAGGACCGCATTTAGCCTAATCGGCAACGAGGTTGTTGTGTGCTGGACGCATTGTGGAGGGAAAGGTGTTTGTCTGGCGTCAGTTGCGGTACCTCGCTCAAGGCCATAACTGAATCTGTGAAGCGATCGTCCGTAACTGCGAGGCGAAACGAGGGCCAAAACAGCCCGAAAGTTCTGAGGAAAGTTGTCGATAGGATCGTTCCACAGCCGCCGAATGGCGTCTCCGCTCGGTTGAGGAACAACCTCGCGCTAATATGAAGTCTGACCAGGAGGGGGCGATCACTCCGAAATTCTAGCAGTCTCTTCGTATATTCAAGAGTGGCAGGATCATCTGCAGAGTGTGCAGTGTCAAGCCGTTACACGTACATTCGGCAATTTCCCTCTTGGCATAAGATTCGCTCAGGTCAAACGACCGGTTGTGCGTGGTGGGCGTTTCTCACTTCCATCGCTTGCCTTCCTCAAGAGCAGAACAAGCTTACTCGAACAAGTTTTGTCGTCGCTAAAGCGAGCTCGCCAGCGATGTGTGTTCTATCGGTTCATCCTGTGGCAATACGCGTCTTGTGTAGCCGGGTCCCTCTCCGTCTGGGTTGGTAAAAAACGCCGGAAATTGTCTTCCCCTTACCGATTTGTGGACTATTGCGGCCTGTAGTTCATGGCCTGGATGCGTGACAATCTCTAATGAGTCATGCGCTGGGGCAGCGGGATAGACATCAAATAGGCTTTTGGCCAAGGGCAAGCAATTCGAGAAACTGTCATTTCGCAATCAAGCAGACTCGTCGAACAACGATTCGAGAAAAATGAACCTGGGAGGGCGCACGTGTGTGTGCTCCCGTGTTTTCTGGCGAAGTCTACTCACCAATCGCAGTGTATGCCTGATGCATCAGCTGGGGTCACACAGGAACTTCGCAATACCCAGTAAAATACTGCAAATGATCAATACATCAAAGAAAGTGTACAACCGCAAAGAAAAAGGGACGGAAACGGGCAACAACACAGCCACGAACAATCAGAACATATGATCGATAATTCGGGTGGCTCAGTTGTGTGTGATTGGAGTGTAGAGCAGCTCGGCCATGACGGGCCGTAGGGTTAGGTAAAGTCGTACAGGCGTGTTGGAAAACGTGTTGTATACGTGTTGTATTCATCGGGGGCGTGCTTGAGCTCGTCATTCCATCACGGCATCAAGTCGCGCATAACGCTCAAACACCCAAAACGAATCTCCATGAATGTCCACCAATCTACCACACTCCCAAGGAAAACATAAAGAAACTTCTTGTTCCTCCGTAGTTAGTTCGTCACTGCAATACCCGCATATGTATACGCAATATACCACCCGCATGCTATGCTACGAGTATATCGAATAGCCCCCCTGCTCGTATGAATCGTCATGCTCCGGGAAAATATCATAGTCATCCTTCTCATACCAGTTCCCAAAACACAATCAAAACCAAGAAAACGAAAATACTTCAGACACGACAAAAGTATCCAAATAGCATACCAACACACGCCAATCACTCTTCTCGCTCTCTGCTGAAAATTCTCAACTCAAACTCTTTTCATCCAGAAAAATATGACGAACGCCGTTCAAAGACGCCTTTCCTTTCACCGCCAATTCGTCACAATATCTCGGTTCGTCTCTAAATCCGCCTAGCTAGATATCCTACCATTACCAAGATGTATGCAATCCTAAGACAAATTATTCCATTAATCCACCAAACCTTCGTCCGCAGGTAAAACGCGAAGAATTAATATCTCCCTGAAATACTCAAAATATATCATGAATGTTCGGTGAAGAAATGTCAGCAACGCCATTTCCTTAGAAAGAATATATCGTGCTCCCCTGCTCCGAGGATCCGCCCCCCTGCTTTGTGAAGGGGTCGGACGCAAGCCGAAAAACAATACGAGAGGTGCCGAAAATCAAAACAACAGTACTTCTGATCCTCCTCTCATCCACACTTCAATCCGATCTGAAAAACCAAACCCAAGCTTGAATCATACAATACAAACGCCAAATCTCAAACTAAATCAAACTCAAAATGAACCTCAATGCGCCTACTTTTCCAGCCATAAACCCCAGCGCATTGGACCACTGCCCCTGCCATTGTTTTCCCCCTGCGGATTTTCGCTCGCCTCCGCCGCGGTCGCCTTCTGTGCTCTTCGTCCGGCTGGCCGCGGCTGGAGCATCGTCAGTAAATCGTCCGCCTTCGTTGGGGGAGACCACAATTGTCGCTCCAGAAGGATTGACTCGGCAGCGATGGAGGGCAGGTCTCGCGTTCGGAAGGGAAGATGGTGGCACAATCAGTTCCTTATAAAACAGCACTCCTGAGGAGAATCACATAACGAACGCCGTTCAAAGACGCCTTTCCTTTCACCGCCAATTCGTCACAATATTTCGGTGCGTCTGTAAATCCGCCTAGCTAGATATCCTACCATTACCAAGATGTATGCAATCCTAAGACAAATTATTCCATTCATCCACCAAACCTTCGTCCGCAGGTAAAACACGAAGATGTATTTTCTCCCTGAAATACTCAAAATATATCATTAATGTTCGGTGAAGAAATGTCATCAACGCCATTTCGTTTGAAAGAATGTAACGTGCCCCCCTGCTCCGAGAATCCGCCCCCCTGCTTTGTGAAGGGGTCAGAGTCAAGCCGAAAAACAAAACGAGAGGTGCCGAAAATCAAAACAGTACTTCTGATCCTC